TAAGGATCTGCCTGAGTCATAGAGCTAGTCTGTTGTAAGGTAGAGACTTGTACCCAGGCCCTAAGCTGTCCGTTCTTCTTTAGATTTTTTTTTATTGAGGCGTAATTAACATAGTGTTATATCAGTTTTAGGTGTGCAACATAGTTATTTGACGTTTGTATACATTGCAAAATGGTCACCAATAAAGCTAATTGCTGTCTGTTACCTTACAAAGTTAATACAATATTATTGACCATATTCCCCATGCTGTACATTACATGCCCATGACTTATTTATTTTATAACTTGAAATTTGTACTTCTCAATCTCCTTCACCCATTTCACCTCCCTCCTAACTCCCCATCCCCTCTGGCAATCACCAATCTGTTCTCTGTATCTATGAGTCTGGGTTTTGTTTTGTTTTGTTTATTCATTTGTTTTGTTTTGTAGATTCCACATATAATTAAAATCAAGTGGGGTATTTGTCTTACTCTGTCTGACTTATATCACTTAGGATAATGCCCTCAAGGTCCATCCATGTTGTCACAAATGGCAAGATTTCATTCTTTTTTGTGGCTGAGTAGTATTCCATTGCATATGTGTGTGTGTGTGTGTGTGTGTGTGTGTGTGTGTGTGTGTGTGTGTGTATACACATACCACATCTTTATCCATTCATCCGTTGGTGGACGCTTAGATTTTTTCCATATCTTGGCTATTGTAAATAATGCTGCAGTGAACAGAGGGGTGCATATATCTTTTCAAATTAGTGTTTTCATTTTTTTTGGATAGATACCCAGTAGTGGAGTTGCTTAATCATATGGTAGCTCTGTTTTTAATTTTTTGAGGAACCTTCATACTGTTTTCCATAGTGGCTGCACCAATTTACATTCCCACCGACAGTGCACAAGGGTTCCCTTTTCTCTACATCCTCACCAGTACTTTTTATTTGTTGTCTTTTTGATAATAGCCGTTCTGACAGATATAAGAATCCCTTCCTTTAACATGTTGGTTTTCCTGTGTAACTTTAAAATTAAGCTAATGTTTTTATGTTTCCAGGCATAGTTGGATTAAGCAAATTGGATTAATTCTTTTATTTATTTTATAATTGTTTTCAGGATTTATATTGTGAGAGTATGTACCATGAAAATAGTAATACATGAGAATCTTAACAATGCTTTTAGATTACCTGAGTGTTTTTCTACACATTATCCAGTTAAATCCTTCTGATTTAATTCTACTGAGATCAGGCTGATATGATGACCTCTATTTTACAGTAAGAAACTTTATTCAAACTCAAAGTTTAAGTAAACTAGCCAACTGAGAAGTTAGAACTTGAACCCAGGCTTTCTGACTCCCAATCACAAACAACTTCTAGGCGTAGGAAAAGATGCAGTTTTTCCTTTTAGCGTGATGTAATTCAGAGCTGGAAAAAACCTTGAAGATCAATGATTCCAGGAGTTGGCAAATTTTTATGGAAAGGATATATAGTAAATACTTTTGGCTTTGCAGGCTGTACAGTTTATTTCAAAAACTCAATTCTACCATTGTATCCCAAAAGCAGTCATAGACAATATGTAAAGGAAAGGTTCCAACAAAATTTTCTTTATAAAGACTGGCTTCAGGCTGGATTTGGCCCATGGGATTTAGTTTACTGATCCCTGATCTTCTCTCCCCTAGTCGTATTTCTGAGAAGAAAACTGTAGTCTCGCTAGAAAGTTTGTTAGGCTTGTCCAAGCTTCTTCTGGCTGGATCCCAGAAATCTATTTTATTTCACTGCTTTTGATTCTAACATTTCTTTCTAAAGAGCCATTTAATAATATCAGTGTAATTGACAAGCTTTGTATCCTCCCTATCCTTAGCAGTCTAAGGTATAAATATTATTCTAATTGGTCTTTCTCTGGTGCTCATGAAATTAGTTTAAGTAGCCAATAATGTCTTAATTGGGCTGACAAAAGTGCATTGATTATATCTTTCTGTGGAGACTTGCAGACATCCGGTCCCTTGACTGTTGCTCTGCCTTTCTTCAAGATTCTTCACTTTGCAGCACTGTACAACAAAGTCTTTAATAAGCAAACTTCATAGCAATTGTATCAATTTAACTTTGCAGAATAGCAACTAAGACTCCTAACAGATCACAGGAAATCTTAGAATTGTTCCTTTTATCTCCCTCAATCCCACTTTTCAGGGGAGCTATGATTAATTTTAAAGTGATAAGTGGTAAATTGATACTATCAGAAATAAGACATTTATATAATTGTGCTAGGTAGTTTTTATTTCGTCATTCTTTGAAAAAAGATGCAACATATTTGCATAAAATAGCATAATATAAAACAACCCAATATTTTCCAAGTGCTTTTGATTGGTAATTCAAGTATGGATTCTGCTAGCAACTTTAGTCAGAGGCTAGCATTTTACTGCATCAGAGCCCTAAGATTTGATTTGAGAAAACCTATCTTTATTACATTTTCTGCTTCTAAAGCACTCTGTGTTTTATATTAAAGTAGGCCAGTTTTGTTCCTCCACGGTGCTTGGCGTTTAAAATAGATTAAAAACAAGATAGGAAACTTTTCTGTTTAAAGTTATCCCTCTTCCAACTGTGTGTGTGTGTGCGCGTGTGTGCATGTGTATGTTCCAAGACTTCAGATATTAACTATTTGTTAGCAATCCAACCACATTGTTTCAATTTTGAATAAATTTGATGATACACAACTTCAATTTAGCTGATGTTTTTTTTCATCAAGGAGGAAGCTGAAACTATTTGCACACCATTATAAAATTCCCCTTTAAATCTAAGAAGGGAGCCACAAAATGAGCGTTGGGGTCTACAGTTTGTGTCTGTATTCTACTTTTGCCATCTCTGCTATAATAAATGAGTTCTTGTATGATCATACAAAGTTTAAACCCTGGTGGTTGCCATAGGGAGAATATAAATGCAGAATGAAACTTAATATCAGGCAGTGATAGTATTCCCCATTTGGAGCAGGCTTAAAGTAAACACAAAGTTAAGGAGAAAAACCAGAAATTATTTCCCAATTGTGTGCTAAGAATAACCTAATATTACATTAGTATTTAATGGAGGAGGAGAAATTCAATGGAGATGGAGGAGAAAACGTATTGACAACTTCAAAAAAAAAAACAAAAACAGTTTGGAAACTATGCATTTTGATAATCAAGTGTTGAGGATTATTGAAAAAGAAAGAAAAAAATGATCAGTCCCTTGTCCTAGATACTTTGGAAATTTTTGTAAACATTTTTGAGAATATTTGGAATGATAAAATTAGGTGAAAGAAAAGAAAAACAAAGGAAAAAAGAAAAACTATAAATAAGATAGACAAAAATAAACAAACACTTTTATTAAACACAACCAAATTATGCCACGCCTACTGTATTACATTAAAAAGAACTGTGTCTCTCTATTTTCACATCCTTAGTGGTTTCATCTCTTTGTAATTAGGACAATACCTGTTGGAAGAAACTGAAAAATGTTAAATTTAGTGGTGAAATGTTAATACCTTGTAAGGTACAAGTGACTTTCATTATAGTTAGATAAATTACTAGTGTCTGTCTCTGTAAAATGATTAGTTATATGGGCAATTATAACCAACTTTGGTGTACAGTTTCATCTGTGATCATTGTGCTGCCGTGATACAAGATGCCATGAGAAATATTTACTGTTATGCTGTATCTTCAATCTGGGAAGGGGTAAGCTTAGTTAAGGATTGATTTGCCATGATTAGTACCTATCTTTCTGTTAAAAGTTGTGCTCAAGAAAAGGGAGAAGTATATATTTTCTAACACAAAATGGTAATACTTTTCCGGAATATGCATTCAGGATTGATTGATTTATTGTATATATATATATGTGTGTGTGTATATATATATATATATTTATTTATTTATTTTAGTCATTCCTTGAAAGTTCTCTTACATTCAGATTTTTATACTGTCACAAAGGGATTCTTTAAATATTGTGACAAACTGTAGTTTTATATTAGAAGCATTTCAAATATTCATAATTTGTTGCTTTTGGCCAAAGTCCATTTCAGTTCTAGAGTAAAGAACAGGTTCACTGTATGCCTTAAGCATCTCAGATATTTTAAGCAGAATAGAGTTAGAATGAGTTTTGAATATAAAAAATATTTTCCAAATGAATTTTACTTCATCAGAAAGGCACATTTCTCACATTACTTTGGCTCTACATTTGGTGTAATCAATTAAAAAAAACAGTTAATTATTTGAAAAGCAAAGTCTTTTTATAAAGCAGTAAGAAAACTGTCTTTCCTAGAGTTCTTGAATTATCTTAACAAAAAGCAGCATCATTTCAGAACAGAATACAGAATAAAGGGTCATGTGCAAGATCTTCTAACTTGAAAGGTCTCTGAATATATATTCTTGGATCTAGAGAAGCATAGTGACATCTGCCTTTGATTATAGCTACATGAACAAATTTGAATTCTAGGACTGTATTTAAAACATTGCAACATACACAATGATATTATATTCTTGGAATATGGCACATGATGGTTATTTTTAACGTAATTATAGATGTCTGGTTGTCTTTGAAATAAATTATTAAAAACAAGACATTCATGGCAAAAATCAGAATTTTTCATGGTTTAAGTCATATTTATCTTAGAAAATTCAAAATAAACTATTTGAATAAAGATTTTTGTTGGTTTCACAGTTCTTCATGTAACTTTACAGAAATTTTGGTTTAATTGCTAAAATGTTGAGTTTGTTTAACTCGACATGTGCTTCTATATTGTTAAGCATTAATGAGAATGAGAAAACGCGTTTTTTTTTGAGATGTTTATTAAGAAAAAAAATAAAGAATAAAAAAATAATAAAGAATAAAATAAAGAATAAAATAAAAATAAAGAATAAAAAAGAATAATAAAGAAAAAAAAATTAACTGTGAATCTGTTTTCACAGTAGTCCTGGGTTCCTAACCTCCAGGAATCAAATCACTATGTGCAGTGATAATCATTTTTACTCTGTGTGTTGTTTCGCTCCATTTTGCAGATTGTTTTAAATTTTACTACGATGGACCTATATAAAAGTAGTTTGTGCTGGTATGACTACATTGAAGTAAGAGATGGGTACTGGAGGAAATCCCCTCTCCTTGGTAAGAGATTATTCACCTTCTGTGTGGCTATGCATATAATCTGTCCTATCTAAAGACAATCGATTCTTTTAGAGTCATCTTAGAGTTAAAAATGTATATGACCTGCATTTTAATTTTTATTACACTGTTTTCAACCACAGCAAAAATGCTCACAGACAGACAGATAAATGGATTGATTGATTGATTTAAACTAGCTTAAATTATGAAGTAGAACTTGGATCTGAACACAATGACTGAGAATATCTTTCACGTGTACTACGCTTATAGTGACTACTCATCACAATGTTTCTGTATTTTTAATTTGAAAATCTTAGTTTTAATGAGAAAACCAGATACATTACGTGTGTATGTGTGTCTTGTTTTGTTCTTTTGCTAAGGCAGTAGAATGTGAGCTGTTCAGTCCATGTTTGGGAGCTGGCTTCTTATGTGAAGCATACTATCTCTTACTGTACATGTCACAGTTTTGCTTCTCAGAGAGTTTTTTGTGACTAAGAAAAGGCGTTTGTAGTTTGTGTCATAAATTGTAGCTCAGATTGGGTGTTCACGAAAGTCTGCTGCCAGCCATTAACCACAGACCACACCATTAACTTGCATGAGGCACTTTTCTGTTGCCCTCTGTTTTACTTAAAGGTGAGAGCTCTTGTGAGCATGTAAGCATCTACTCTATACGGATTTTTTTGAGATTGTGACTTTTCCTTTATTTTTAGAGGTAGTTTGCTCAGTTATGTTCATGTGCTGTACAGATCTTCTTTTTTCTTAATATGCAAAACCTGCTGAATGGACACTATTGTATTAAGAGTGATAGCAGCCTTAGCAAGTCCAAGAGATCCGTAGAAATGTTTAAAAGTAAAGAAAAATAAAGATTGAACAAGCTTGATAAGTCAGGTTGAGGAAAACATTGTCTTGAACATTTAGTTTCTGAGCCTAGATGAAGCAATATGTAATACAGTCATGTGCTGCGTAATGACGTTTTGGTCAATGACAGACCACATATAGAAAGGTGGTCCCATAAGATTAGTACCATATAGCCTAGGTGTGTAGTAGGCTATACCATTTACCTTTGTGTAAATACACTCTATGACGTTCACACAATGGTGAAATTGCCTAACGACGCCTTTCTCAGAACGTATCCCTATCGTTAAGTGAGCATGACTGTATATGTATGTGCATTCCAAAGGAAACATTTCTTTAAACTCATATTAAAGAATCACATCTAAAGCTAAAATTTTGGAGAATGCTTCCTTTTGTAGCACCATCAGCATTACATGATTTATTATGTAATGGTCCACCAGAGTGCTTCAGTCTGATCACGATTTTCATGTCAAAAGCTTTCCCCACTATCTCCTCGTAGACCTTGTTTCTCAAAGTGTAGCCATCAGACTGAAAGCATCAGAATCACTTGGCAGGTTGTTAGAAACATAGAAACTCAGATCCCACTGCACCCCTTCTGAATTAGAGGTTGCATTTTAACAGACTCCTTGGCAGTTCATATGTGCATTACAGTTTAAGAAACACTGCTCTCTGCTACATGTCCCTAATTTACTTTGTCATTTAGGAAGACATTTCTTCACCTGTTAGCTGTTAGTATGAATTGGTTTTAAGTTGATTAGCATTTTTCACATACTAAAACTATGTATGACATCATTGCCAGGGGCACACAATAATGGATAACAATGTGTTATTGTTTGTAGAATTATTTCATGTGCATTGTCATATTTAACCATTTTGTCATCATATGAAAGCTTAGGGCACAATGGCAGACATACACATACATATCTACACAGTAAATATTTGTGGAAGGTTGAGGGAAGAAAGGAAGGAATATAGGCATTGTTATATTCATTTGCTGTTATACTTGCCTGTGGATATACGATTAGAAAAAAAATCAGAACTCATACTCAAGTCTTCTGATACTGTTTCTCATTCTGCCTACGACACTACAGATTATAGCTTTTAGATGGGATGAAATGTATGCAATCACATAAGATCCTTGGAGTAGCCTATGGGTTTCCCTGACAGGTTGTCAGTGAATCTGACTTGACAGGAGCTCCCCTTTGAGCTGAGAGACATATCCTTAACGAAGTTACTTCCCTCGTAATGACCAGAATGACAATTTGAGCCAGTTTCTTAGGATCACTTGTACTTGTTTCTGTTCTCCATAGAATAATATTCCCCATGTTGATGTATCATGAGCCCTTATACAAATATGTCTTTTGAGCTAGCCATTTCTTAATTCTATGGATAAAGATATATCAGTTGGTTAATTTGAAGGTGATATGTTCCAATATTTTATATATATGAAGAGACTGTTTTATCTATTCACCTTTATTAAGTAAATATGAAGGCATAGTTATGGCTCTAGTTACTAGAGAAGGAGATAGGATCCAAGTCAGATTATATATATATATATAATTTCTAGCTAGTGTGGAAAATAATTAGAATATAGAGTCATATTTAGGAGTCTCTCTCTATTCTTTTATTTCTTTTAGGTAGATTCTGTGGGGACAAAGTGCCTGAAGTTCTCACCTCTACAGACAGCAGAATGTGGATTGAGTTTCGCAGCAGCAGTAATTGGGTGGGAAAAGGCTTTGCAGCTCTCTATGTAGGCAAGTTATGTTGAATTTTAAAGATTACTTCCTCTTAGATCTCTTAACAGAAATGTCCTTTCTCTCAATTTCAGTAGAATGATATCGTAACTCTATTTTAATTATGAAGTTTTCTAAACCTGTATTAGAACATGCACAAGGATGATTTTAATAACAATACTTGATAAATTTAAATTGCAAGAACAACCTGTTTTGTGATACCAGTGATGTAGTAACATATAAATGTACTCAGGGATGTGTGGAAACAAAAAAAAAATGGCACAAGAGTTCTCAAATGTCAAATTTTTTTATGATAATATTACAATATTATGAAGAAATTATCATTTTCCTTTGTACTGAATTTGTGTCTATTTGATGCCTGTACTGCTGAAATGCTCTGTTCTAGGAAACTGCACAGAAAGTAATTGTGCACATTTCTGGAGCATGCTTTGTCTAAACGAGAGAGTCAGCATTCAAGGAAGAATTTACTAGACGCTTTGTTCTATACTTCTCTAAAACAATGAACTGGCATTGTGCTTCCTGCCTTTAAAAACAGCTCCCTTCTTGCCAGGCTGTGGGTGGAAGGGACCCTTCTTACTCCTGCCTCTGCTAGCACAGGAGTGTAGGTAATTCCAAAGACGGAAGATTTCTGCTTCCCTTAAACTTTTAAGTAAACAGAAGCATTTTGTTTTAGAGATTAACTGTAAAGCAGTGAAGAGGATTCTTTGGATGGAGCCACAGATGTTGAACACATGACGCTCGCCCACTGCCAGAGGCCCAGAGAGTTCTGTGAAGCTTCTCCACTGCTCAGCTATTTCACCTGAGGTCAAAAGACCAAAAGAAGCGGTTCAGGAAATCACAGAACAAACTCACATAGAACAAATTTACAAAAATCTTGAAAGGTTTTTAAAAGTTAAAAAAAAATGCTTTTTTCAAAAATAAAGATGTGAATTAGCAGTGATAAAAAAAATTATATATTCCTGTGCTGCTAACTATTATCTAATATTTATAGTTAAGTGACGAGGCTTTTTCACCATCTAAACATTTACAGCAGTGCGACCAGCCAGCTTTGATTTTTATAACCTGGTCTTTATGTTCTCAGCTACAGGCGCTGAACTGAAGTGTTATCTTAGAAGAAAATGAACATGAAATGGCATGTCTAGGTTTAATTATTTGTTTATTTTTGCTTTCTTCAGCGATCTGTGGAGGTGAGATACGTAAAAATGAAGGACAGATTCAGTCTCCTAATTATCCCGATGACTACAGACCAATGAAAGAGTGCGTGTGGAAAATAACAGTGTCGGAAGACTACTATGTCGGGTTGACCTTTCAGGCCTTTGAGGTAAAATCTTTTAGGCAACCTTTGTGGAGCACATCCTCCATAAATGACAGTGACATTTAAGAGGAACCTCATTAAATAAGCAAAGAACCAGAGAATCAGCTTTTTAATCAGCGAAGAAGCACAGGATTGCCTATAAAATGTAACATCAAGAGCAAAAGAGATTTTTTCTTCTTGCCTCTTGTTGCAGACATTTTCAAGAAGATTAAAGTGAGTTTACATTATCTGCACTATTTGAATTAGAATGTTTGAAGTACTGACAATAGTTTCTTTTGACAAATGCACCGGCTTGTTTCACAAAACTCCTTGAAGTGTCCATTAAATAATAGAACTTTTATTTCTCTTCTAAACTAAGAGGTTAAAAGGTAGACCATCTTTTTGTTGTTGTTGTTAGGGGGAAAATCCATTTTTCTCCTTTTTACCATTACACAGAAAATTGTTTATATCAGACATAGGGATTTAAGTGTTCTTAGAAGCTGCTGACTTTGTCAAAAATATTTGTCAGGGAGGAGATTGGCACCAACGTTGCGTTATTAGAGGAGGGCGGAATGAACCAAAGCCCAGTCAGAATTCTGAAGCAAAGTTAGAGCCCAAAACTACCAAGCTGGCTAATGAGTCATTTTTGTGGGGTTGGAGGAACTGAGTTAGGGATTCGAAGCCAAGAGATGCAGGAATTTGTCAAGAACTCCAGAGTAGGTTTAAATCAAAGAACTAGTCTAGTTGAGAGCCCAAGGTTAAGTAGGAAGGAAGGATGAGATGGTGGTGGTAGGTCCAGGCAGGTGTTGGAGATTCAGATGCCACAATCGGAGATTATTTCTTCCCTGATTAGAAGTTTGATTCACTGCCGAAGCAATCAGAAGGCAGTAGACAACCCCATCCACTGCCAGGTGTTCTTACCACTAAGTGCAGTGACCGTGGTGGTGTTCCTGTCCCCACAGCAGGAGCACCAGGAGAATCCAGGCATTACTCATAAGGCCAGAGAATCTCATGCCCTCACCTGCAAGCTGTGTAATATATTTTTTTGGTACTTATCTCTACCCCTTTGCATGTACCATTTAATTTCCAAGACATATTTCTTTTTATCATGAAAAAAGGATCTTTTCTGCTTTGATCGTGATGTTTACGCTCCTAACCATTTTGCCATCTTGAAAAACTTGGTTTTGAGATTTGGTTCACACTTGAATTTTATTTTAATGTATCAATAAGGTTGCAAACATTATTCAAAAAGACAACTTATTGTAACAATAAACTAAAATTGAGTGGGATTCACCTCCTATTTAGAACAAAACAACTGGTTCCTTGAAAAATTATCTACCTGATGACCACATTACTTATATTTTGTGATATTGCAAAAATTCAGAAATGAACTCTTTCAATATGTAATTTATTGTTTTATGGAATTCTCCTATTACAGAAGTGATATCAGAGAATGCATTCATTCTACACATCTAAAAACCGAGATGCAATTGCTGAGATGCAGAAATTGTTGGCTTAGTTGGTTTGCAGGGTTTTTTTGATGTATGCATATAGTAACAGTGATATACTTCAGAAAATAGGTTAGTGTAAGGACAAATAGGAAAGATTTACGTCACAGGCATTTAGAACCTTGCCTGATACAGAGTAGTCAATAAACGCTTGTTGGTTGAGTGATTGATAAATTATTACTAAGCTTTGGGATTGGGGCAAAGTCATGTCATAGTTTGGTTGACTATATTTTATTTATGTCTAGTTTCTTGTCCTTTCTTCATTTTGCTTTATTTCTTTATGTTTCTTCCTCCTTCATTTATATCCTGGACATATTTGAACGTCTAATAGGCCTCTCATCTTTAAATGACTAAAACCAAACTAACCTGCTCTTTTTCAGTCTTCCCTATTTCAGCATTTGCTATTTCAGTATGTCACTATTGACTCAAGGAATATTCCTTCTTCCACTTTTTCTCTTAAATCCCAAGGCCAATCCATCAGAATATTCCACTTGCTTTGTCTTCAAAATATACCCCATACATGACCACTTTGTACCTACTTTCTGGCCACTACTCTGCTCCCACCACTGCCCCTTCTCTTGGAACTTGGTGAGAGTCTCCAGTCTCTACTCTTGCCCAGCATATCCTGATCTCCACCAAAGAGCCAGAATGATGCTTTCACAGTGTAAGTTAGATCAGAAACATACTCTGCTTAAATTCTTTCAGGGGTTTCCCATCACACTTAAAATGAAACCCAGATTCAATTATCATGGACCAAGGCAACCCGTAATTTGATCCCAAGCTCCTTCTCACTCTCTGTGCAAACCCCTCTGGTCTTCTTTCTCTTCCTCAAAAATGCCAAGTTTACACCCACATCACAGCATTGTCCATTGATGTTTCTCTACCTCTAGATCTTTGCTTTTGTTCCTCTCTTACTTCATTCGAATGTCTGCTTAATCATTCCACCCTTAAAAAGTCCTTGCCTGGTAACTCTATTTAAAATATTTTCTTACTTACAATTGTCTATAAGCCATTATTCTGTTTTATTTTAGTTCACTTCATTTATGACTAATGGAATTTTTGTTATGGATCTCTTTGTTTACATGGTTAATCTCTGTCTCTCTCGCTAAAACACGATCACTAAAGGGTAGAGATCTAATCTGTTTATTGATTACTATATCTCCAGCACCACTAGATGCATGATTAATATTTGATCATGGGAGGGATGAATGGATAGATGGATTATATGTGAGTATGTGAGTGCATGATAATTGGTGGATGGAAATTAATGTATCCTTTCTTTATCAAAAGTATGTAAGTTTCCATGCAAAGGGAAACAAGCCTGGGTAGGAAAGAAAGGTTTAGATTATGGAGGATCTCATATGTGGTATGGCTGAATTCAGACTAGGGATCCTGGGTTCTAAGAAATTCAGGAATGACAAGCAATTTAGAGGTATCCTAACATACCATGTAAATCTTCTAGATAAGAGAACTGAACTTATACCATTAACCTAGTATCACACAGGTGAGCACTAAACCAACATTAAAACCCAGGTACAGTAGTTCATTATTTGCAGACTCTATTGTCTAACAAAAATTTATTTGCAACTGGCAAATCAATACTTGTGCTGCTTTCTAGGTCTTTCATGGACATGTACAGAGCAGCAATATATTTGAGTCATCTGACGTGCACATTCCTAGCTGTGATGTGCCTTAAGGAGAAAATATGTGTTAGATAAACACTGTTCAGGCATAGTTTATTGTGCTGTTGGCCGTGAGTTCAACGTTAATGAATTGACAACATATATTATGGTGTCTTTAAATGGAAACACACATAAAACAAGGTTATGTATTGATTGGTTGACAAAAATTTTGTGACCAGAAGCTCACAGGAACCTAATTCTGTATTTCCTCAGGAGCAATGAATCAGTATTCATTAATTCGGTGTTTTCAGTGACTTTATAGAACTTAACTACTGCGAATACCAAGAATCAACTGTATATATTTTTTAATTTGTTCTAGTGGTCATTAGGTGGTTTGTTTCATTTACTCGGTTATCTGCTTATATAAATTTTTTTGTTTACATAATATATTTTAAATATACAGTTTATACATTTTATATTGAAAATGTATCATTAAAAAAGAAAGTCCTCAGCAATTCTCAATGTTTTGTGGTTTTGTCTGACAAAACAGTTTTTATTCACTGATATCAGTCTTTGCCTTTTTTCAAAAACTGCTTCTATTTTTGTAACTTTTTTATTTTCTATATTACTCTCTCCCGTTTCAGACAAAAGGGTCCTTAAGATAAACTTGTTCTTCATTCTATCAGAATTTACTAGTATAGGGCCAGCCCAGTGGCGAAGCAGTTAAGTTTGTGCCTTCTGCTTTGATGGCCCAGGGTTCACTGGTTCGGATCCTGGGCATGGACCTACTCACTGCTCATCAAGCCATGCTGAGGTGGCGTCCCACATAGGACTAGAAGGACCTACAACTAGGATATGCAACTATGTACTGGGGCTTTGGGGAGAAAAAAGAAAAAGAGGAATATCGGGAATAGATGTTAGCTCAGGGGCAATCTTCCTCAAAAAAACAAGTGAAAGAAAAATGTTTAAAAAAAATCTACTAGTATAAAAAACTTACTAGCTGTCCACTACTTTTACCTTTCTGTGAATTTATGTCATGACTTTACCTCTCCTGATGCTACTTAGATTTTAATATACATACAGAAGGAAAATCTGAACAAGTGCCTTTGTTAATCAACTTCAAGTATCCTTGAGCAGGAAAGGACACTATTTGCAGGGTAATAGAGTCCTAATACTTCTGGAATCATACCATTTGGGAAGCGGTTTCTTCTCTAGCAGTAACTGGTGCATTGTTTCCTAAGACCAGTACTGAAGTGACTTTGTACATGTGTGTAGATCATGTCTGGAATCATTTTGGAGAGCTCGTCTTCTCAGCAGCAGTATTATTTGTAAAGAAGACAATACTACTATTTCACCTTAGCGGTTTCAGGATACAGAAATACAGAAGACAAACAGTTTGGGAGACTGGAAATGTTTATAGTTAACAACTTCAAAGAAATGCCAATAAAGCAGAAAAAAGTGAAATAAACCCAGAGCTTACTTATATTTACATTGAAATCCCCACATACATTAATTTAAGTGGGATTAAGTTTGAGGCACTTGTGAACATTACTACACACTCTGATTTCCCTTATAGATGTTTAATAGTCTCACTCATCGTTACTGCAAGCTGCAACATTCTAAACTATGAACAAAAGTTTTTATCTTGGTACTTTGTGGATTGCCAGAATAAAAGTAATCCTTTAATTACTTTAAATATTTTGTATTAGTTTAAGTTAAGTAGACTAGACTTTGTGAATGAACTAAGAAGCCAAGACAAGGAGATCTTAATTAACATTTTTATGCTTGCCATGTACAATTTTTGGATATTTGGCTAAGAATATATGTAGGTTAATGACTATAATAGATAATTAAGTAGCTCTTCAGAATTATGGTCTAGGCTATAATTCTGCTCTGA